AACCAGGTTTTGGTTTGGCTGATCTTTCTCTGGGGGTGGGGGATAGTGTTGTTGCCTTTGTTCTCTATTTCATTGAATCCCACCCCACCTTTATTATTTTCTTCCTTTTTATTTATTTGAGTTTGCTGTGCTGTTTTGTTCCCAACTTCTTGAGTTTAACGTTTATCTCATTTGCGTTTTACTATGCTCATTTCTATAATAAATGTATTTAAAAATGTAAAATTTTATTTGCAAATACTGCTTCAGCTTCATCCCATGAGTTTTGTAGTAAATAGAGCTGCTACTTAGTAATTCATTAGTTTTCAAGTAGTTGTTTGTTTTTAGTTTTTTAATGTTTATTTTTGAGAGTGTGTGTGTGTGGTGTGTGTGTGTGGGGGGGGGAGGGCAGAGAGAGAGAGAGAAAGAAACACAGAATCCGAAGCAGGGTCCAGGCTCTGAGCTTAGTCGGAGCGGGTGGCTTCGGACTCCATGAACGACCTGAGATGATGACCTGCTAAGGAGGCACTGACGATTACAGGCCTCATCCTAGCCAGCTTTGAGGCTCATTGTTGTCTAACTTCATCCAATTATTTTGGGTTGGGGCAGAGCCAGTGCTTGTATGTGTCACGTGATGGCTGACTCCCTTCCAGTTGGCTCTAGAGTGCTTTTTCTTAGCATTCCACATGTTCTTCGAGAGAGCTACGTTCCTGCTGGCAGGAGTCCTATCGCGCAATCTGAGCCTTTATCTGGGTCTCTCTGCCTTGCCCTTCTCCCACCCCCCCCACAGCCGGTCCCTGGGAGGGAAAACTCCTGACCACAGGCTTAGCACCGCTCTAAATCCATTCATTTGTTGGCTTACTTTTGTTGTTTCTGTCTTGCTTCTTGGCCACTCCTATCTCCTGGAATGTTCCTGCCCTCTGAACTGAGGGACAGGCCATCTCTGCTGAGGGAGGTACTCGGCGGTCAACCTTTCCCAAAAAGCCAAACCTGACGCCTGTTTGCAATTCTTTGCGATAGAGTCCTGAGGATCCTGGCCCTGGTGTGGATGGGGATGGGCTGGGAGTCCAGGTATCTCTCATTGTCCAACTTGAGGAGCTGGACAGAGAGGGCCACTGTGTCCAGACCCTCTCCCCCTGGATGTTCCCTTTGGAAGCTCTGCTTGTGCTCCAACAGCCCCCTGCCTCTTAATTCCTGGAAACCAGCATTGGGCCCTGGGATGTCCTCAGCCATGCTGACATGGTCCCCTTCTCTGCCATCCCCACAGCAGGATTCCTGGTCTTCAAGCCTGAGCTGATCTCCCGGTTGGAGCAGGGGCAGGAGCCATGGGTACTTGACCTGAAGGGAGTCGAGGGGAGAGAGGTGGCAAGGACCTCCCTTACAGGTGAGGCTTAGGCCTGTGGCAAAGAGGTTTCCAGGTAAAGGAGTGAGGAGATGTTCGGGGAACCCATGCCCAGCAAGGGTTGAGGGTGGGAAGCTGAAGGCAGACCGCAGGGACCAGCCAAGAGGGCATGCCGGGCTGCCTGGGGGCACCACGGGGCCACAGGTGGGCCCGTTGACAGAACTATCGCCTGGTCGTGGGGTTGTATTGGGAGAGACTGAACTACAGAAAAGCAGGGACATAAGACTCTTACGTGTTATAGCAAAAACAGAGTTTGCTTTTCAGGCATAGGTTCAATTTCCAATTTTACTGATGTTCTTGTTAAGCAAAGTGCAAAGGAACTTCCAAGGGAAGCACTAAGCTTGGCTCTGAGCAGCCTCTCAGGCAAACATCAGTCATCCTGAGACAGTTGCCTCCCACCTGCCAGCAGCTCCTCCAGAACTGCTTGGGCTCCTGGGTGACCCCAGCCTCTCACATCAGGCTTCAGGGCTGTGTTGGGTCCTAGGGCTGCTGTACCAAAGCACCACAGACTTGAGGCTTAAAACCACAGAGGTTAATTGTCTCACAATTCTGGAAGCCACACGGCCAAAATCGAGGCATCAGCAGGTTCGTGTCCTGAGGTATGAGTGTATGGGCAGGAGTGTTGGGAACATTGACCCCAGCCCCCAGCCTCCTTGGCCTTGCCTTCCTGCTTAGACCCCTTTTTGATCCTTCCTGGGAAGGAGGTAAAGCTGTAGGCTAGCCCAGTTAAAACCCAGCTCCTACGAAGTATTTCCAAGGTGGAGGAAAGATTTCAAAGAGGGTACCATGGTGGAAAAGCTAGCTGGAGCTGGCAGAATTGGGTAGTTCCATGGGTTTGTACGCAGCAAATGGTCTTTATGGTGATGAGGCAGCAGCAAAGAAAACCTCCCCACAATAAATGTAGACTTGTCACAAGCCTGAGACATAGGACAAGAGTTCGGCCTCACGGATAAAAACATGTGGAGCGTGTCAGAAAAATGTAAGTACCCAGAGATGTTATCTGTGCCTGGCTAGTGCAGCAGGTAACTGAAGGAATGGCCCAGAGCGGCAGCAGGTTGCAGAGCCACACCCCTAACCCACCACCACAGCTACCTTTGTCCCCAGCACAAGAGACCTTAGTGCCTGTCAGCCTGCAGGGACAACATCTGTTGTCTGAGGGAAAACCACTTCCAGAAGGAGGCTCTGTTTTTTAACATGTGCTTGTATCCTCTCACAGGTTGTTCAGAGCTTACAGAGAAGGGCTTTCGAGTTCTAGGGAAGGATGAGAACTCTAGGCTTCAATTATGAGTCCCCGAGGGGCCCCGTGGGCAGTGTCATGCATAGATACACACAGCGAGGCACTAGTTAAAACGGTGAGGGTAGATTTTTCTTAATCCATAGTAATAAATTGCAATGGAGAAAGTCCAGTGTGAGTGAACTCGGCTTCCATTTGTTCAGACATGATCAGAGCAGGCACGGGGTGAGTGGGGTTCAGCTAGAGCCAGGAAGTGATGGATTACAAGAGCGGAAGGGAGTGGACCCTCTGACACCTACCTGGGCTTGCTGACCTCTGCTTGTGGCATTTGGGTCTTGCCCTCCCACAGAAGTTGGGAGACAACCTGTCCCTCAGGTGTGGCTGGAATAAACAGATCGTTCTGACAGCCTTGAGTTTTCTCAGGCACACACCTTAAGGAGGGCTAGGGTCATCCTAGGGAGGAAACCTTTAGCTGTAAGTAGTGACATTAGTCTTTTGTCCTTACGGGCCAAGGATGAGGCCTGGTCGAGAAAGGCTCAGAGGAGCCTGGCTGAGCTGGTCAAGAGAGGGTCTTTGTCAGAGAAGGTGTCACTAGTAAGTAGGGTCACGTAAAAATGGGCCGTGCTGGGTACAGGTGTGACGTGGGCCCAAAGAGGAGAGGGACCACGTGGCTAGCTGAGCCTGAGGGGAAGCCTGGTGCGTAGGGAGGCTTCTCATAGACTTGGTTGCAGAAAGCCAGATGGAGGCAGACTCCAGAGAGGAGTTGGGTGGATTATCTTTCTCCTTCCTGTGCAGCGGGAGGTTCTAGGCTCACAACTATGGACGTTTCCACTGTGCTCTTCCTTGGCATCCATGGGGGCCTTTGTTTTCCAGCAGGAGGGAGAGGAGAGCAGTGCGTGTCCACTTTCTCATCTCCAGAGTGGAGGGAGGCCTGGGCAGAGGACTGAGTGAGCCAGCACCATATGGCCACTCCTGCCCTGTCGAAAGGTTGTGTGATTGTGCCCCAGAGGCCAGGTAGGAGATGCCCTGTGTCATAAGGGCACAGAGAGGTTGAAGGGGCATGTGTTGGGGGAACAGAATTGGGTTCATTCCTGATTCTGTAATTAGCTGTGTGACTGGGGAACCACGAGCTCCTTCTCTGACTCACTGCTGACCTCATTGGATTGTCACAAAGACTAATTGAGGGACGGCCAGGAACTAAGTGTTCCTTATGCCCAGGAGATGCTCAGTATGTGATGGCCTCTTCCTCACCCTAGGACTGACTGAGAACTTCAGATCACCGAGCTGGAGAGGGGACTGACATTAAGAGCCACCAGGAACCCTGGAACTGGGCCCCTGGAGGATATTTCTGTGGGGTAGAAATGGACTGGTTATAACAGCGGTTATTGCACTGGTTACGAAGTTGGTTGTGATGTTAGTTATGACCCTGGGTGTGATCACAGACACCAAGGAGGTGTGTGAGTTTAGCAAGGGTACTCTCTGGGACTGCCGAGTAGGAGAGGGGCTGACACTTATTTGGAGAGTCCAGAAGGAAGGCAGATGTCAGGAAGGTCTCGTGGGGGCCAGTCAGGGGTGAGTGGACTGACCAGAACCCCAAGGGAATGAGAAGGCAGTATAGGCCACCGGGTGTGGCCTCCTGGAAGCTGTGGGGCTGACGTACATGGTCAGGTGTGTATCAGAGAAGGTGGCTCAGCAGCAGCTGGAGGAAGCCAAATTCGGGTCTGGGGTCCTGCTCAGTACCACCCCCCTTCAGGCTCGCCCAGGGCGTGCCCCACGGCAGCTGTCCAGCCTCATCTTCCTCAGAACCTGTCCGTTAACTCCCCTCACCACACCTCTGGATCCAGGAGCCTCTGGCACCTCAAGCCCAACCTGCCTCTTGCCACACTTGCCAGGCTCTCCAGTCCAGAACTTCCTTATGGATTTTCACTCATACCGGTTCCCCACGGGACGAGCCTCTGCTGATGTGTCCCCCCCCCACAGGAACACACGGTAGTTGAACGCATGAAGTAAAAGTGTCAACGAAGCTAAATCTTGAGAACTGTCCAAGGCCCGACTTCTGGTAGTGTTTTTCCATGTGGGTGTATCCTTGCCTGATGCAGCCTCCGCCACTGCCCCTGGTCTTTGTCCTTTCTCTGAGCACAGGGGATAAGAACCATTTTATTTCCTGTTTATTTCAGATTCTGCAGTTGGGATGGCAAGTGAGCAGGCCTGTGAGGACGTGGATGCTCTAAAATCGGAACCCCGTGTGGCCATGGTCAGAAGCTCCCCACAAGGTTTTCCTCAGAGTTCTGGCTTTAGAGACACCTCTGATTCTGAGGTCTGGTCAGAGAGTAAGCCAAGCTCCCTCCTCCAGAAAAACTGCTTGAACACTGGCACTGTGGCTCCCAGGAAGACCTTCGCCAAGGAGGGTGCCCAGGGACGTGGCGAGCCGGAGGGCATTGGCGTACTGGGTTGTCACCCTGACAAAAGTAAGGGAGGTGCTGCAGAAGGGACATCCCGAAGATGTGATATGTGTGGCAGGAGTTTCAGATCGACTCCGGACATTGCTCTGCATCAGGAAATTAATACACTGAAGAAACCTAACAGATGTCCAGAGTGTAAAAAAAAATTACCTGATTGTTTGCAGGGGAAACCTCGAAGTAACTGCCATGGAGAGAAGCCGTATGAATGTGAGGAATGTGGGAAAGTCTTCAGGTTGTGCTCGCAGCTTAATCAGCATCAGAGAATCCACACTGGAGAGAAGCCATTCAAATGCATTGAGTGTGGAAAAGCTTTTCGTCTGAGCTCAAAACTTATTCAGCATCAAAGAATTCATACTGGAGAGAAGCCTTACAGGTGTGAGGAGTGTGGAAAGGCCTTTGGTCAGAGCTCCAGCCTCATCCACCACCAGAGGGTCCACACGGGAGAGAGGCCCTATGGCTGTCGGGAGTGTGGGAAGGCCTTCAGCCAACAGTCTCAGCTGGTCAGACACCAGAGGACCCACACTGGAGAGAGGCCCTACCAGTGCCAGGAGTGTGGGAAGGCCTTTAGCCAGAGCTCAACCCTGGCTCAACACCAGCGGATGCATGCCGGGGAGAAGCCTCAACTTCCAAGAAGCCCAGGTAGTCCCAGCCACATTGCCCATCAGAGAATTCACACTACAGAGAAACCGTTTAAGTGTGATGAGTGTGGGAAGGCCTTCAGGTGGGTGTCTCGCCTTAGTCAGCATCAGCTGACCCACACTGGAGAGAAACCTTATAAATGCAACAAGTGTGCAAAAGCCTTTGGTTGTAGCTCACGGCTTATTCGCCACCAGCGAACTCACACTGGAGAAAAACCATTCAAGTGTGATGAGTGTGGGAAAGGCTTTGTCCAGGGCTCACACCTAATTCAGCACCAGAGAATTCACACTGGAGAGAAACCCTACGAGTGTAGTGACTGTGGAAAAGCCTTCAGCCAGAGTTCAAGTCTCATTTACCATCAGAGAATCCATAAGGGAGAGAAGCCCTACGAGTGTGTCGAATGTGGAAAGGCTTTCAGTATGAGCACACAGCTCACAATACATCAAAGGGTCCACACTGGGGAGAGACCCTATAAGTGTACTGAATGTGGGAAGGCCTTCAGTCAAAACTCAACCCTTTTCCAACACCAGATAATTCATGCAGGAGTGAAGCCGTATGGATGTAGTGAGTGTGGGAAAGCCTTCAGCCGGAGTTCCTATCTTATTGAGCACCAGAGGATCCACACTCGTGCCCAGTGGTATCATGAATATGGGAATACCCTGGAAGCTTCTACCCATGTGAGCCGTAGAAAAGTCAGCACTGTAAAGAAACTGCATAAATGTAATGAATGTGAGAAAATATTCAGGTGGCGCTCACATCTAATCATTCATCAGAGAATTCACACTGGAGAGAAACCTTACAAATGTAACGAATGTGGCAAAGCTTTTAATCGGAGCTCACGGCTTACTCAGCATCAGAAAATTCACATGGGATAGACCACCTGTCTTTATAAATGTGTATAAATGTGAATAAACCTGCAGCCTTAACCTTAACGTATTTTATATGGGATCATTTATACTGACAAGAATTTAGAATGTGGGGATAGATTCAGAATTGCTCCCTTAAGAAAGAAAACGTCCAAATTCGTACAAAGTGGATATATCTTTGCTGCAATGTGTGACCTCATCCCGCGCAGCAAAGTCTGTGTCCCTCAAGCCAGGGCACACATGTGTAGACTTTCGAGTTCACAGAAGAAAGACGCCACATCCCGCGGATGAGGAAGTGTCATGGGAAAAGGCCCATGAGCCCTGCCAGACAAGTAGCTGAGAAGTTGCCCAAAGCGTCTTCCCTTAGCAGTTCCTTAGTCAGTTCCTCAGACTGGCTTCAGCAGTAAGGATGTGTTAGCTTGTGCTAGTGGAAGCCCAGAGGAAGCTGCCTTCTTCACCTGACTCCTTTTCCTCCAACTCCATCCCCATCAGAGCAACCCGGGGCTACAGCCAGAGGGCCTGGCACCAGCCTCTTCAGACAGGAGCTTGGATCAGTGCAGGCACTCCAGGAGTAGCACCTGCACCCAGGGACCTGCTCTGTGACTCTGGATGCCACTGTTCTCCGTGAAATCCAGAGTCTGTCTGCTTATCTGAGCATCGTTACAGGGTGACCATAAGAACTGAATGTGGGAGAGCTCCCTGCTCCCACACTGAGACCCCGAGCCAGCATCTCTAGCGGAACCCAGGGCAGACCTGGCCTCAGCACTGCAGAAACCGCTCATGTGAGCCCAGCGGAGCTACCCGGAGGCCAGGCTGCTTACCAGACTCCCCAGAACCGCTCCTGCCACACAAACTGCCAGAACCAGGAGGGTCTGCGAGCTGCATGTGAGCCCATTGCCCTTTCCCGGATGCTGGTGGAGGTGGAGACAGACTGCTGACCCGCAGAATGAGGCTAACAGTGTTGATGGTGGCCCCGCCCTCAGGGTCCTGGCCCTGCCAACTGTGAAAAAGTTCCAGGGGACCAGAAGTCTCAGACTGGCTACTACCCACGACCACTCACTCGAGACCTGCCGATCTTTGGTGTCATTGACAGTTATCGGAGGGGTGAAATTTGGGCCAGGGACCCCTCCCCCTTGTCCCAATGGAGAGGCCCATTTCTCCCACATACAGAAAGGTAACCCAGAGGGACACAGGTCAGTCACTCCAGGATTTATTGCAACACTTGATTTGGGTCACCATCACCTGGTATGGTTAAGCCTGTGGGTAGGTCCTTGAGACACAGCCTCAATGGCCATGTGTGGTATGGCCCAACAGCGGGTTCTGGATTTGTATTAGGTGAAAATCAGGCTGGCTGATCCCTCTGTTTGCATTGGGAATTCCCCAACTTTCTGGCATTAGGAACAGCAGAGTTCAGGATGGTCAAGTCTGTGTGTTTGTGTTTCTAATACATGGACAGGGATCTCGGTCCCACAGCAGGTCAGCCCAGTTGCCACCCACTGCTGCTCAGCCAGGCACAACGCGTGATATGTTCTTAGGCCACAGTGCTAGTCCTAGGAGTAAAGATTGTCCCCCTGGCCTGTACCCGCCCCCTTGGAAGTGGTGTTCCCAGCCCACGTGTCAGGACGCCATGAAATCGTGCCCATTTCAGTGGCTGTAACCGCCTCTCCACCCGTACCTACTGCACCCAGAAGTGTGTCCAAAAGGGTCATTGCCAGAGGACCAGGGACTTTTCGTGGGCCCACGTGCCTTAGGAAGGCAGTTTGGTCACTGAATGTGCCATTCCCAGAAAGGAAACCTGTCTCTGCCACTTCTGGGTAATGATGGGACAGAGGGGTGGAAAGTTACATGAACTCTTCCGGATTCCAGCCTGAGCATGGTGCTTTCTGTCTTCTAACAGCAACCACAGGCCAGCCGAAAAGGGCCAGAGGATTCAACCTAAGTCTTCTTCACCTGGATTCTCTCTTTGGATTGATACGGTTCTAGATCAGGAGCTGACAGATTATAGCGTATGGGCAAAATGCAGTTTGCTGTCTGTTTATGCAGCCTGTGAAAATATGTACGAGGCCATTAGACTGGGCGACTCTCATGCCTTGGGAACTACACAAGCAGATCAAAAGCTAAGCCAGAGTCTGTTCCTGTAAATGCACTCCTATCTGAGAAAATGAAATTTAAGAACACCTAATCACAGTCAACTAGATTTCCCCAAATAAGGCACCTGCTTAAGCCATAACCAGTCACACAGTTTCCCAGTTTTGCTCCTGCGTCTATAAACACCTCTCCCTTTTCTCCTGCCAGCACAGCACTCCTGATGTTTCAGTGTGGTCCTGCCTGGCTCCAGGCAGTGTTTGTTCAAATATAAACTCTTCAAAAATTTAATGTACCTCAGTTTACCTCTTAAAAGGCCTAAAAGCTAAGAAGGGTTTTTACATTTTTAAATGGGAAAAATGACTATTTTATGATGTTTGAAAAGTATGTTGAAATCACATTTCAGTGTGACCAAATAAAGTTTATTGGAACAGAGCTGGCCCTTTTGTGTGCAGGCTGGCTCTGCCCACTCTTGTATTCAAGGGCCGAGTTCACACTTGCTGGTCTTGCCTTGTTAACTTGGGTAAAATCTTCATGCCCTCCAACCTTTGAGGAATTACTTTTCCTCTCAACTCTTAGTGCGGTTTGTTCATATAAATGTTCCAGTACAACCAGGAATTCGATAGAAACCACTCTAGACTTTACATTCCAGTCTAGAGCCTCCCCTGCACAAGTGTAGGGTGAGGAGTCCTTAGCTGCATCCACGTGAGACATGGGACACTGGCCTGCCCAGCAAGACTTTGTGAAATCAAGCTGCCTCAGCACCTAAAATGCCTGGAGCCCTTGAAGAGCATCTGTGCGTGTCCTGTGAGCTGGTGGCCCTTTGGCAGAGGGGGTGGAGGAGGGCCACCTGTGGGATAGTGCAAGGTTTTGGGCATTCTGTTCTACTTTAAAAGGTATTTTCCAACATGGGCTTCAGTAGATGTAACAGTGAACGTTTTTAAGAATACCCAGAACTCTATTTCAGAGTAGATATTAAAATACCTTGGATTTTTTTTTTTTTTTTGAAGCAATAAGCCCATAATTTTGACTTGAAACTACTTTTTACTCAATCAGGCTAAGCTTTGATTCATGACATTGGATTGGAACCACCAAGCTTCCTGGAAGCTTCACAAAGGTGTGGGGGGTGCAGAGCCCAGGTGAGTTTACACAGTGTGCGTGGCGTGCACTCAGAACCTAGGAAATTTTTGTCGCACGAATGAATGCTGCATTTGGGGAGCTTTGAGGTTGGGATGTTAGACACTGTCAGAAGAGGAAATGCACGAGCATCAAGAGTTTCCACAGAGGGACACCTGGCTGGCTCAGTCAGTGGAGCATGCAGCTCTTGATGTCGGGGTCGTGATTCAAGCCCCATGCATGTTGAGTGTAGAGATTATTTTTGAAAACTCTTTTCACAGAGATCTAAATAAGATCAAGAAAATGGAAAAGGGAAATTTTTCCAAGTACAAGTGTCCATTCTCTGTACAAGACCTTGTGCAGGCTGGAGACAAAGGTGGACCTCAAGGCCTGTGAGTGGTAAGGACTGACTACAGATGAGAGTAGACCGTTGCTCTGTAGCCTAGGGGAGTCCTTTGGGCACACAGGATCCACCCACCCCAGCCTGGCTGGGTTGAGGGCGGTATGGCAGAGCCACCTGCCACCTAGTTTTGCATGTCCCCAGAGACTAACAATGGTTTTTAAATGCTTGAAAACAAGATGATTTTGTGACTTATGAAATTAAAATTTCAGTGCCAGTAAGAAAGTAATTGTGCCCGTTCATTTACGTAGCGTCTGGCTGCTTGCAAGCAACATTGGCAGAACTGACAACCCTTGTGACCTGGAAAGCTGAAATATTCCCTTGCAGCCGTCCCCTGCTGCAGCAGCTCCGCGGAGCAGCAGTGAGAAACGGAGGGGAGGCCACCTTGCAGGTGCTGTGGGAGGGACAGCGTGGTTAGGGCTGCCTTGTCCAGCCCACCATGGATGGAGAACAATGCTCTGACCCCACTGTTACTGACTGAGAGACCAAAAGCACAGACTGTCTCCTGGTAAACGGCTGGTGAGTGGGCAGAACATTACACCCCCACGTGTCTGGAGCCCAGCAGGAGCAGATTGCATGTGACCAGGTGCTGTGCCTGCAAGGGGCTGAGGGCCCTCCCAGAGTCTGCTGACTCTCAGAGTGGACACACCAATGCACCAAACTGCCAAGCAATCCCGGTCGGTCCGATGCACAAGGATGGGGTAGGGGGTGGTCCCTGCAACCCACAGGCAGAGCGAGGGCGTGCAGATCTGGGCACTTGCCCACTATCTGACTCCTGTAACTCTGAGCCTCCATCGGCCTGTGAGTGGAAGTGTCCTCTACCTGCAAGACCTGCTGAGAGGCTTGATGTGGGCTCCAAGTGAGAGCTCTGTCCTCCCTGCGAGGGCCTCTTGGGAAGGCGCTGTGCGTGTTTCTCATAGATGCCGACAGTAGGGTGGCCTGGGAAGTGCTCCTCCTCTCTGCTCAGGTGTATTTTTGAGGACCATGGGGGCCCAGCCACGTGGCCCTTTGGTGGCACTACAGCGTGGAGCTTCCTGCTGGGGCATAAAAGCCTGGCTCAGATCCTAGGGCTCCATTCCTGGTTGCACCTACCAAATTCCAAGAATCCTGCACAGCAGAAGCCCCTGAATCTCCATGGCTTTCAGCCCTATATGTGCGTCCTCCTTCTGGGGCCAGTAGCCACTCAAGGCACGTGAGCCAGCAGGGAGAGCCTCTTGAAGCCCCCCCGGCTGAACCTCCTTGCCCCTCCCAGTCACTTGCCCAGTCAGTAGACCAGGGACACTGCCACAGGGAAGCCCCATCCAGGTGGGGAGGGAAGGTGGACAGCACCCCCACCAGCTGTTTGACATCGGGCAACTCTCTAACCTCTATGCGTTATCACCTGTGAAGCGGGGGAACTTCACACTTGTGAGTTAAAGTTGTACCTAGACTGCTCAGCACCTGTTGGTTACACCTGTAATTTCTTTGTGCATCACCAGGGACTGGCCCGTGAAGGTTGAGGAGGCTGTGCTTTGGCAGTAATATCAAGGGCTTCAAAATGTTCTGCCTCATCTGTTCCCACTTCTAAACAGTTTCAGTATAAAATGGTTTTACCACTAATGTCACTGTGATTTTTTAAAAAAAAAAATTTCTGAATGTTTATTTTTGTAGGAGAGAGAGAGCGTGAGCAGGGGAGGGGCAGAGAGAGAGGGAGACACAGAATCCGAAGCAGGCTGCAGGCTCCGAGCTGTCAGCACAGGGCCCTGTGCAGGGCTTGAACTCACAGACTGCAAGATCATGACATGACCGGAGCTGAAGTCGAACGCTTAACTGACTGAGCCACCCAGGCACCCCCACTGTGATTTTTAAAAGAAAAAAAGAATACAAAAGCTGCTGTGGTCTGTGTCCTCCCACCCCCACCCCCCTGGCCAAAATCTATATATTGAAACCCTAATGCCCAATGTGATGCTATGAGGGTTTGGGGCATATGGGAGGTGATTGGGATGGGTTCAGAGCCTCATGAATGGGATTAGTGCCCTTACAGAGAGACCCAAGAGAGCTCCCTCACCCCTTTAACCTTGTGAGGACACAGGGAGAAGTCTGCAGCCCTGAAGAAGGCCCTAACCCAGCCATATCGGCCTCCTGATCCCAGCCTCCCAGCCTCCAGAGCTATGGGAAATCAATGTTTCAGCCACCCAGCCTGTGGTGTGTGTGTGTGTAGGTAAAATTCAGCACATCCACCGAGGGGAATGGCAGGTTTTGCAGCCATTAGCCACGACTGTCATACTCAGGAGGGGTTAAGTGAACAGAGCTAACACAGACACACAGCCTAAGTATGAAGTCTGATGAACACAGTTT